TAATATTTTTTAACTTTATAAAATTAAAAAACACGTGTCTAGATCCAAAGCAGTCCATCTTCATATGATAACTGGTCAAAGTTGAACATGCTGTTGGAAAAAAATGGTTTAATGGGTCAACTTTGAGCCCAAATTTCAGTGGGACTCACCTTTTAAATAATACGGGACCTAGCATATTCACGTTCTACTCCGCGAGATGATTAACGTGATATATTTATTTATCGAAAACCATTTAAAATTGAATGAAATATTAAGTGTTAAAGTAACCCACATAAACTAAGGATTATGGAAGAATTTGATTTGCCAAACACTTATCCCACATAGGAAAGTTAGGAAACTTTGGTGTGGTTTATAAGGTGGAAGTTTGGAATTGGGTTTGGGCCCCAAGGGGTACCAATAGTCTTTGGAAGGGGAAAGACCTATATCCTATTGGGTTCGGTCATAAACCCACACGTGCGCGCCGCCGTCGCCGTCCGTCCGACCGGCCGGCATGGCACGGCACGAGCCCGGTGCGTGTCCAGGTCGACCTTTACACTATATTAACTTTTTGGGCCAAATTGTAAATAATCAAATTCTTGGGTACAAAATGAAATTTAAATTTTGGCTTATTCCGGGTGTTTTATTTTCTTTTAACAGTCGACTGTTTACCGACCAAACAGTCGACTGTTAGTCGACTGTTAACAGACACGACTTTTAAGAACAGTACGTCTGTTCGGATTTTTGAGACTTGTCTGAAAGGTGATGACTGTTCGAATGGCCACGAACAAGTCTATAAATAGCCAGCCTTTCTACCAGAAAATTTACACCATTTTCATTGCAAACTTTCTGTGCTTTGAATCTCATTTCCCTCTCTCTCGTTTTGATATTGTCTCGAAGTCAAAAACACTTCGTTGAGTTCGTTGGAACTCCTACAGACTGCAGTGCTGCTTCCGTAGGAGACGAAAAATTCGTTCTATCCTGGAAAACGATTGCTGGACGCTTTTAGCACCATTGAAGGTAGCAAATTCGTTTTAAGGACATATTGTGAAGTCGGTGGGCTCGAATTACAATTTTGGATCCTGTTGATCAATTCTTGCATTCAGGTAATTCTGTCGGATTGTTTTCGAAGGAGTGAATTCAAACTCTAGAAACAACAATCTTAAAACGAATTTGCTTTTTCAATTATTATTTGTTTCTGTTTCTACTCCTTCTTATCGTTGATCTTCTGGTAGTATTCAGAAATGGCAACTTCTGGTACCACACTCCCGAATACGACCGGGGAAAAACTAAAAAAGTTTAATGGGTCAGATTTCAAGCGTTGGCAACAAAAAATGCTTTTTTATCTGACGACATTAAATTTGGCTAAATTTCTCAAAGAAAACGCGCCTTCATATACCGAGCAAGACAGTGATGCTGAAAAATTGGCTGCGGTTAATGCATGGAAGTATTCTGATTTCTTATGCAGAAATTATGTGCTTAATGGATTGGATAACACATTATATAATGTGTACTGCAATGCTAAGTCTGCAAAAGAACTGTGGAAATCTTTGGACACAAAGTATAAAACTGAAGATGCCGGCACGAAGAAATTCATTGTCGGTCGTTTTTTGGATTATAAAATGGTTGACAACAAGACTGTCATATCCCAAGTTCAAGAACTTCAGATCATACTTAGCAATATCCATGCCGAAGGAATGAAACTAAGTGAATCATTCCAAGTCGCTGCACTAATTGAGAAATTACCACCTTCATGGAAGGATTTCAAGAATTACCTCAAACACAAGCGAAAGGAAATGAAACTTGAAGATATCATTGTCTGTTTGAGAATAGAAGAAGACAATCGCAAAACGGAAAAAAGGAATGGTGCATCTACTTCGATGGAACCAAAAGCTAACATTGTAGAAGGAGGCTTCAAGACAAGCAAAAAGAGGAAGCACAATGGGGAAGGACAAATTGGTTCTTCAAAAACTGCTAAAAAGTTTAAAGGCAACTGTTACAATTGTGGCAAGGCAGGACATAGATCCAAGGATTGTCGAAAGTCAAAAAATGTGAAGGGAAAAACTAACCAGGCCAATGTAACAGCTTTGAATGATGTTCTCCATATGCCAGATATTCAAAAGAATTTGGTATCTAGTTCCTTATTAAGCAA